TTATCAAGCAACAATCGGTTTATTATTCAACTAGCAAATAGTTAGCGGAGTAGAGGTCATTTCCCCCTAGATTACACATCGACCCAATTTGATCCCATGCTTGAGAACCCGGATAAAAGCAGCAGGACATTGGTTCACCTCTTCTTGGATACCAGGATAGCAACAGGAAGAAGCAGTGCCGAGGGCTGTGTGACGGGTTCAACCATGTGTGCTTGTGTGTCCGGTTAGCAAGAAAGGGGAGTTGGCCAGTGTGGATTCTGTTGCGGGTCATAGTTGCTACATGGTTGATATGCGAGTGGTCTCATCTAAAAGGATGACAGCCTTGGTGATGTGCGAAGGACAGCCTAGAAAAGCCTACATCTACAAAACGGGTACAGAACGGGTTACCCCACAGGGTCTAGATTCAGGTTGAGATTAAAAAAAATCATCCATTCCAAAAAGGCATCCATTCTAATAAAGTCAAATTAACTGTATGCAGGACAAACACCATAGATATTATTTAATAAAGTATCCAAAATGATTATGATCATTATGAGTTACATGATGCATTCAAGCCTGCGTTGGCCACTATTGTTGCTTCTAGAACACAGACAATACATTAAGATCCTTAAGTTTTCACGTTCACTTGGTTTTCTTGAGGAAATGCTTCTCTGCTTTGTAAATTGTTCCAAAGTAAAGACAGCACACTGTCTTGCAGCCTGGCCTGATATTGCCACAAAGTAAACACCCCAACAAGTATCTAGAGTAATTCAATTCCAAACAACAATGAAACCGTAGCAAGGCATGCAATCTCTTTGATGCTACAAGTTTGCAGTAAAATTGTTGCTTTCAAAATGGACCAGTGTACATCTTTTTTTTCAAACCAGCTCTTGGGTATAGAATTCAGCTGCTCCTCTATGATTCCATCTGAGAGCCTTTATTTCGTAGACAGTCGCTGTAGTGCCTCAGGTAATTGTGCAATAGATCTCTGCCAGATGGTGACCCTCTGCCAGTGAAGCAATAATGGGGACTGGACCCTCGCAAGTTAATATTCTCTGGCTCGACGAAAAATTTTCCAGAAGCCCCATTGCTCTTTTGATAAGAGTTTAAGCTCTGCAACCTCAGCCCGTCCGACCCCATCCCCTCAGCCAATTCAAAGCAGTATTTGTCATTTTAGCTGCGTGTGGTTTCACGCTGATGAACTCATCAGAATCAACAACTGTTTATACCCTATTTATATTGCGTAGCCTCATTTCCTTTTTTTATTTACAGCTCATGGCTTCACTTCCTCGCCCACTTAGCCCATTGTATTATTGCTTGCCTTTTCGACTTCCATGCAGGAAACAAAACAGTCTCATTTGCTCGGTATGGCAAATATTTCACCTGTGATGAGCTCTGTGGCATAACAGGTACGCGGAGCACCATTTCTCTCCCTCAAGGAGTTAATAACATCCTGTGTGCATTTCTGGGCAAGGTGAAGGTCAGCACCGACATGATTTCAGTGCTGCTCTATTTCAAGTTATTACTAATAAAGGGCAGCCACTCTCACTCTGCTGTCGGAGTGACACACCTGATCAGCCCCTCAGCTCCTTCGAGGGCCGGAGCTGTTCAGGCCGCAAGGTTACATCTTCCAAACCGTGGCAGCCCTGCTGTAAAGGAAAATGTCTATAAATTACTGGAATGATCGCATCAATATACTCCCTTCAGTACTTTGAAAAAATGTTGTTTGCATTTAAGCATGGCTGGCATGTCATAACAAAAAAAGTAGGTTGTTTGAAATGCTCATTATGAGGAAGCGAGGGTGATTGGATGGGTCCACAAGTTGTGTTGTTAAGGAAACGGACGTTGAGTTTACTTCCAATGATTTTTTATTTTTTCATCAATTTAAGTTATTTAAGCCAAACTTCCCTCTTTCCCAACATTCATTGATACCAGTTTGCCCAGTGCACACCAATCTACCCGCTTTGGATGTAATCAACCATAATCGTTTTGATGTACTGCAATGCCTTGGAGCCCTGAGTCTGAAATGGAAGACATTTGGTGAGGGTCAATGACCTCTTGGGGCTCTGTCTTACCACCTCAGCTTTTTTCTTTATTCACCAACAGTTCTGCATCTACTCTCTAGGGAGCTTGAGTGTGCCCACTAAATTTCACAACACATTAAATTAATAGTTTTCCTATAAGGGAAATATGGCCAGACACCACTGTTGTTGCAATAGTGAAAGTGAAGTGGTGAAAAAAAATCTGACGAGATTGCTAAAATATCTTTCTCGTTGTTAAAATATTGCACAAACCAACAATTGAGAAAAGGACCAACAACAGCAAACCTAGACACATCGTAAATCACAGTGAAGGTTCAGAATGTGATCGTAATTTGATCAAACATGAGGCGTATTGTGACAGTTTGTCGAGATCCGTTTTGCTGCGTTTTGGTTTTGTTTATTTTTTGGAACCAGGTTCCACTTTCAGTCCGGGGGGAAGATTCGGTCAGCTCTTTTAAAGTAAAACTTAAAACTTTCCTCTTTGATTCTGCCTATAGTTAGGGCTGGCTCAGGTTAGCCCAGACCAGCCCTTAGTTAAGCTGTTATAGGCTTAGAATGCCGGGGGAATTCTTAGGACACACCGAGCTCCTCTCTCACGCTCTTGTTCTACCATAATTCACGTTTTATTAATGCACATGACTAATTCAGCTTCTTTCCGGGAGTTTTTTTTGTGCTTTCTCCCCTATCAGGTCTCCGTAGATCGTGGTTCTTTCGACACCTACCGTGGCCATGCTGACGCCTGCTGCGGCCATCATCATCATCATTATTATTTTAGATATTAATTATATTACTGAACTCGTAAACCAACATTACCCTCTCCTTAAGTCTCTGTGCTCTCCCTCCCCACAGGCTTCTGTGGATGGTGGTTCTATCTGATGGTGGTTGCCCCTGCAGTGGTCCTGCTGTGCGCCTGGCTTACTACTCACAGTTACTTGAATCATTTCTGTCATAGGAATTGCATGTATTATACATTGTTCATTCTGTACATATGGCATCCATTGTAGTCTGTCCATCCCGGGAGTGGGATCCCTCCTCTGACGTTCTCCCTAAGGTTTCTTCCCTTTTTTCCCTCTTGGAAGGGTTTTTTCATTTTTTGGGGAGTTTTTCCTGTGCCGATGGTGGGTTTCGGGACAGAGGATGTTGTATGTGTACAGACTGTAAAGCCCTCTGAGGCAAATTTGTAATTTGCGATTATGGGCTATACAAAATAAAATTAATTTATTTGAATTTATTTTATGTGGAGTGCCAGCCAGGTCTCTCTCCTGACATCTAAGATACCTGCATCGGAAACTAAGGCGAAGTTGTATTTTTAGTTTTATTTTGGGATCTTAGTCCAAAACCACACGAGCGCGTATCTATAAAAGGTACACCCTCAACCCATAGAACAGTCACAAGAATAAACCCGACAAAGCACAACACACAGTCCAAGATTCAGTTTAAATGTTCATATATTTACACAAAAAGGTAAGCCAAGCATAACAAAGGAAATGTATTGTCCACCTTCCAAAAGAAGAGAAATCCAAAAAGAAGAGCAATCCACACAAAAAAAGTATCCAATAAAAAAAAAAAAAAGGATCCGCCTCAGGTTCTCTTTTTGTAGTTAATCACTTTCAGGAACAGAAAACAAAAAATGTTATGGACTTACAAGGTGATGTTAGTCAAACAGTCGGGCCAGTAGTCGGCCTTATTTATAAAACCTTGCGTAGGATTTGCGCCAGAAGTGGCGTACGGATGAAACATAGGACGTGCGTACGCACAGAAATATTCAGACCGCATGCACGTCCTACGCAGTTTTCCCTATATAAATCACAATCACTTCTAAATGCAGCGCAGCTTTTGCGGCTTCATGTCACGCCCATAGTTGCCCATATATAGTCTGTGGAACGCCCACAAATTAATATTCATCGATTGCGAAATCATGACAAACACTGAGAGGAAATCGAAGAAACGTAACTTCACTCGGTGTGAAGTCGAAATGATCATTGGCGAGGTGGAAAGGAGAAGTCAAATGCTTTTTGGAGGGCACAGTATGGACATTGCTAATGGCAAAAAGGCACTTGAGTGGCAAAAGGTTGCAGAGCAACGCTGCAGCCTCACAACCTCGGACCGTGGCCGAAATAAAGAAAAAATGGTCTGACATGAAAGTGGATGCAAAAAAGCGTTTAGCGCGCCATCGCCAAAGTGTGTCTGCCACGGGTGGGAAAGGGGACACCGGAGCTGTCCCCTCTTGATGAGAGACTGGCGGCAATGATTGGGGATCGGGGACAGGGTCTGGGCCAACATCGGCGTCAGGGGGTCGAGGCACGTTTGGAAGCTGTGCCACATTATGTAGCACAGCACATGCCAGCAGGATTTTGCACACCTTTCAGGAGTAAACAATAACCTCCCTCCAGTGCAGTCGAGGCAGCGCCATCTGCCCTTAAACAGACCAAATTCCATTTCCATTCCTTCCATTTGCCACAAGAGCGCAAGATCAGCCATTTCGCGTCATTACGTATCATGGCATTTTATTACCGTCCATTTGATTGCATCTGACAAGCAACAGCTGTGTTTTGAGGATGAATTGCATAACATGCCAATATTATTGCAGAACATATTTCACTTTTATTTTTGAAAATGCGTTCATTTGTATTTATGTTTGTTTTACATTTACATTTATTTCATTTACACAACAGTCTAGTTTTACGCACTTTCACGCACGTTTGCGTGTTTCTTGCATTTGCAGACGGTTCTCATTTCACCCATTTTTGTGCGTACGCATGGGTCCAAGCTTGCGTGAAGGACCGTACATTTTTCCGTCAAGTTTGTTTTTTATAAATACCAATCATAGCGTAGAGAGCGGCGTACGCCTTCTTTTGTGCGTACGCAACATTTATAAATGAGGCCCCAGGTGAGCTCGTCATCCCCCAAAAGGGGCGGGTCCACCGCACCAAAACAGCTGATTTGAAGCTGGTGATCACTTCCAAGTTGTCACAGTATGCTGCTGTGTTTGAGCAAACGCACTGAGCCAAAGTTCCCTGACAAGGTAATCAGTCGGCCGCTCTGCCTGAAATAATCTCAGTCCTGACTGAGCTGCATTAATAAAGAAGATATGTTCAAGGTTATTACTGCGTATATAGGCGTTGCACTACTTTATTCGACTAAGAGGGAAAGTCAGTGTAAATTGTTGTCGGAGAGAAATATGAGAACCGCATGCCACTTCTCTCTCATCATCCTCCTCCTCAACCTGACTCTGTGATATCATAAAACCTGGTGAGCAGCATCTTTGGCTATGGGCAGATTATTTTGCAGTATTATTTATGAGTATTTATGTAGTGATACAGGATTCGGCTCTGGGGCATCACAGTAATCCCGCCCTAAAACATTCTCTGCTTTGCGTGATATTTGACCCTAAAGGGAGCATCATTTACTAAAGGAAAATCCAAATTTATTCAACAAGACTTGAAACAAGTGATTGAGAGCATGAGCTCATATTCACAATGTTTTCTTTTACACTTCTAAGCAATCTGTATTTTTGCAACCAGAGAAGTTTCCCCCTGGTGGCCAGTAGAGATGTTTTTAAAGACAACTTTTTAAGACTCTTAAAGTCTCTGCATTGGGTTTGATTTGATTGACTTCCGAACACCAGCTGCAAGAGACAAAAATAGCCGCATAACACCCATTTTGTCCAATTTGATCCGTCATAATTAAACAGTCGCACATGAACCAAGGGAGTCAGATGGACAACCTCCCCTTATCTAGTTTTTGCTGGCCTGTGGCTATAATTGACCATTGTGGCTTTTCAAGTCCTGAGAAAAACATGAGTTAAGAGATAGCTAATTGCATCGTTGAAAAGGTACGATGGCCTTGGGTCTTCTTTTCGCTCTGCTCCCACCTCCAGATTCTTCCGGAGCGTTGGATACTTCTACAAAAAAAAAAATACTGCTCCTTTTCATGCACTTCTAACTACTTTGACATTTTATTTCAGAGGAAATATGCACCGTCATCACTGCATGAGTAGAATACTGCATCGATCAAGTCCTCATGCATTTTTTAACAAGCCCAGTTCCAGTGTACTCTTGCAAATCTACAAACAAAATACACCCTTGCTTATAAACGCTAAGCTGTGACGTGTTGAGTAATTCCCGACCCCCATCCTGTATGTTTCAGTGTACATTTGCAACCCCTGGAGACAGATATTGGTTTCATTTAATTGTTCTATTTCAATGTCCCTCTTCTCGATCTAACTGTAGACAACCGGTGTGTTACCGGACAATGTATAGACGTGCTGCCCAGGCGGTCGGCTCCTGCTGGTGCTTCTGCAGATTAGCCATGAGGAGACACACGAGACACACGAATGCCTCAACCGAGTGCTGCCCCCGGAGCCCCGTGCGGATTATAATGAAGACACAATATCTACGTGGCCATGGACCTGCTGGCCCCTTCTCTCATCAAGCCGGTTTGGGCGATGTTCCAGACGCACAAAACACAGCCAGCTTGGGGAGGCAGCCTTAATCACTCCCTCCCAGAGGCGCTGCGTGAAGGTGAGAGCAAGTTTCAAGACTTTTTTTTTTTTCTTATCACAACGGTACTCTTATACAGACAGGGACACTAGTTATCCCTGGGTGTCTTGCAGCTGAGGCCTTTCACAGAACAGCAGAGGAAAAACAACTGCTTTCAGAAAGGATGCATATTTGGAATTAGGGCTCTTCCAAAGCAATCAAAGAATTATTCCATTTTGTTACAACTTTGTTCTTTAGAGTGTCCCTATCGATCAAACTTGTAATTATAAATGGACATTCTTGCAGAAGTTATCAGATGCTCAGAGCTAACGACCCTGCATGTGCACATTCTGAATATATAAGCTACCGCTTCCATTAGAAGACATCTACAGAGGTACTCGCGGCCCCAGCAGGGAAGCTAATGGAGTTGGGATGACTCACTCTCGGCTTGTGTGCACTCTGTCTAATCGCCTCAGTTAAAGTGTTTCAAATATTTGACGCCATGTTCCCAGGTCTCAGCAGTTGACTTGATGTTGATCAAAAGTAATCGCTAGCACAGCAAAAATGTGTAATATATCAAAGCTGTTGTTCATAGAACAAAGCAATTGCGAGCGTATCTACAGCCTCAGACCGCTCTCGACATGGCGGCCAGCTTCGACAGAGCTTAGGACAGTGTTGTGCAAGGAGCCAAACACAAGCCCCATATTCTCTGCTTAGGAGCATGCACCACCTCACAATATTCGCACATTGCACATGGTTGTTTGCTGCAATACCGGTGCTCTGAATAGCATATTGAGTCTGGAGGCAAAGGTCATGCTAGATTCTGGTCGAGAAACGGGGATAACCAAGGCCACCGTGGTGGAAAAACAACCCTCACCGAGTTCAGCCGTCTCTGTTGCCGAACTCCTCACCTCTTTCTGTTGCTCTTGCCGTGTTAACAAGCACTCATTCTGAGCATAAGGTTGCCAAAAGGTTGCTAAAATGCACAAAATGCTTGACCACCCACTCAGGCTAACGTCCAGCTACAATAATGCACCTGGGATTTACATGGGTGGAAAGACGTCTAGTATCTGTTGGATTCATTTTCTCCAACTAACTCACTTTAAAGGGGAATGTCTAAATTAATCTCGCTTGACCTTTTTAGTAAAGTGAAATACGACTCTCATTATTCTGAAAGATGGCCGGAGGCAGGAGGAATATATATAACCTGTAATGTTGGCTACACTTTATGGCGCACTGCAGAGGACTACTTGGCTTATGCTGCATGCCTTTGTCATGAAACACACCCTTCCACTTCAATAAAGCTTGAATACAGCGGTTATTGCTAAGGTTTTCGGGGCATTAACAGCTTGTGGGACACGTATTAAACGTTGTATGGAACGTCCAAAATGCCAGGTGTCATTTTATAAGTTGTGTTTTAAAGGACTCCAAACAAGTATTCCAAATGTCTTTTCCTTGCAAAACCGTGGTCATCTTGATCTGCTTGATCTTGTTTTTTTTATCTTAATATCACAATCCATATTTCACCCTGATGCGTTGAGGAAAAAACCAAAACAAATTATTTTATTAATTTCACATTGACAAAAATCCTTGACAATCCTACGATGCATGAAAGGAATAATCTGATATTCTGAAAAAGAAAATCTGGACTCACAGACCTGAGATGTGGCACATTAAATCATCATGCTGAACGCTTATAATGGAATCAAATGGGTGAATTATGCCTCTGAGTAATATAATGTAGTAGCACAACTGATTAATGCATGCTCTGGTGCAATATTATTTTAGTCAAAGGCACCATGGCTTTATATCACTGCTGGAGCTAATTATGCTCCCCTTGAAACATGATTTCCAACAAATGAGAGTGTAAGGAAGAGTGGGTTATGTGTCAGAAGATGCATTGTCTTCTTTTTAAATGCCCCATTAGGCTCGAGGTAAAGGATTATGAAAGTCTTCATTAGTTAGCCTATTCCTCACCCTGACATGCCATCTCTTATGGGGATCCCTGCCGTCAAGGCTCTCCTAACTGTGTTTAAACAAGGGTACGGCCTTGTAGGAGTGAAAAAACGGAATTAAGAGCAATGTCTGCAAAGTTCTGTCGAATTTTACAATCCAAACCGCCAGGCTTACCTGAGTCGTCCTTCTCCGCTAATCCCAAACTGTTTTTTGCATCTACATCTGCAGTGTAGTTTCTTTGCCAAAGCAAGGCTCTGTCGAAGAAGCCGACAGGGGAAAAGGATTTACATTTGAATGAGTAATATGCTCCCGGGAAAATATGTGTGTCCGCTACTATTTTTACTCTCTTAATTGGAAACTGATCTGTTGCAATGTACGCTCTTAGGCAGACGTTGTGGAAGGGGATTAGCTTTCAAATGGTATCAAAGGGTCATTAGGCATAGCGGGAAACTGCGAGTCATCCACAGTTCCATTGTGTCGTCAACGAGAATGCTCAGCGCCGCCGGGTCAAGGTGTGAGCGCTAGAATGCCTGCTGAAGTTTCACTGTGACGGCTCTCATGAGGTTCCTTTAGCTCAAATGCATTTTTTTTGTTATTGTGATCAAATGAGCCGGAAAAGCTGTGTCCAAATGTGTCCACATTTCAGAATTCAAAACAACCTGCCTAATCGGATATTGTTAAAGTATATTTCTTGATCAAAGGAGTGGCTGTAAGGCATTAATTTTTATCAAAATAAATGTCCCTCATTATTTTTTGCTTCCAACTCTTCCTGCCGGCCGGCCGTACTTGTTTTATTGATCAATAGCCATAAACAAAGAAACATCTAAAATCCTATTAATTCCTCACAATAAAAGCATCCTCTTATTTGTGCTGCTTACTTTGCCTCTACGCAGTATTAGTATACTTGTTTTCCGCTTTTGTGCCTTTTTTAAAACATTTTTATACTCCTTTTCCCTGCACTGTTAGTAGAATTATTTTATAGAAGAGTGGTCGCTAAAATAGCTGTGGTTTTTGGTAATAAACACGTTTTCTGAAAATATAAACTCCCTTGCAGTTGGACAATGATGAAGACAAAGGCACACCTCACTGAGACCCCAATTCAATGCAAGCAAGGCCACCTCGGCAAGCGTACGGCCAATGTGATTAAATGAAAAACGTTCCATCAGGAAAAAGACCTTTCAACCCACAGCAATTGTTTGTCCCTATAAAACCGCTAAGAGAGCCTCTACTTTTCATGAGTTCCTGAGTCATTATACTAGATCATCATTCCCGAGATGGGACGTCTCACTTTCATGATCTAAACATGACAGCGGAGCTGATCCACATCATTTCCGAGTTTGGAGTTGAAATGACTGTTGTCTCTATTACACCTGTGCAATCTCTGAATCTTGCATGGCAGACATCACTCTTTGTCTTTGAGGGAACCCACGTAAATCAATCAGCCGGCACTACAGATAGCACAAAACCCCAGATCATTCCCTCATCAATAAAGCAGTGCAGCGGTCGATGGTCTGAGGCCAAACTACTGCAAACCACACTGGAGCGCCAACTTTGCCTGCTTAACAGTGGATATACCTAGGATGATGATTGCTTTTTCTTCTCTACTCTTTTCAGACAGCTCCAGTAATCGGTCGACATGAATGCTAAATAAAATGGGAGCACTCACCACATTTCCATCAGTGTTAATATGGGCTGCGATTGCTAGAGAGCATTAACTTACAAATCAGGGTGTAGTAGACCTTCAGAACACTTGTTTGTATTCCCTGTGGTTGTCTTGAAAATATAAGCTGTACTGTAATACATTTGATCATGCATAAATGACTGAGTTTTTTTAACAGGAAAAAGTGTGTTTATCAAGTGTTTTATCATTTAAATCAGATTGTCCGGTTTAAGTGAGGTTGCATGTGTTCGGAAAGTATTCCGCATAGAACTGGATCAATGGGATTATTAGCTCAAGTGTTTGCAAACAGAAGTTCATAACACTGAAACCCATTTTTATCACTTTTCTCCCGATGCTTTGTTCACTGTGGAGGCGTGTAGTTTTCTCCGCAAGTTGATGTCTCCATGTTTCTCTGTCTGTTTAATTATCAGTTCCAGTCTAATGTTTCCTGGAACAATATAATTAAAAGTCTATCAATTGTACTAGCTTGCAGCTTGGGGATTGATGTGTCACTCAAGGAGAGTGTAGACCAGTTTGCCTCAAGTCCTCTTGGAAGGAATGTTAGGATGTAGGGAGATGGGTAAAATAGTTCTGCAGTGAAGGATGGTCTGTTGTATTTTGTGCTCTTTGCAGGGATTGGTGCCAATAGGTGGATTGAGATGTCAGCAGCAACTTTTATTAATGGTTTGTTAAATTTTTTCTGAGAATTTGGATGCTTTCTGAGTTTTGCTCACACTTTGCTTAGCTTACATCTGGCAGGTGAGGTGAGGCTGGGAAGTAAGCTGCTAGCTATGAGGAGTTGGTGTTTGTTTTTGCATTTCAAATCTTTGTTTTCCTGTATATCCCAGATTTTTGTCCTTGGTTGAAGTTTACTTTCTTAGTGCATAAAAACAGAGGCCTTCATTATTACTACTTTCAGCAATCTTTTCCGGATGAAAAAGAGTCAAATTAAGTGCCTTGCCATCCATTTGTTTGGGGTAAATTAAGTCAGAGTTTTGGTCATAAATTGACAGGAGTTAATGTCAATTAATGTCAGGAAAAAATAAGTTGTTTAATAATAACGTGTTTCAATGTGTGGGGAATGGCACCAATATTATTTGCATGAGCTCAAAAAGCACAATCTGTAATTTAAAGAAATCAAACGACTAGTCGGACCCCCCCCCCCCCCCGACCACCAAACCTCAATGTAAAGCTCAAACTCTGCTAGAAACTCTCCCATTCAAGCCAATCACTCATTTAAGCCTCGACATCCTTCTCATTATCAACGTAGTTGGAAACCAATTAATGTAAGTGATTAAAGATTTTATGAACTCGAGAAGTCAAGAAGATTGAGGTCAAATAGTGTTAATTTATTTTAGTGAATCTTCTACCGGTGACCCCTCATACACAACTCATCAAAAGCACACTGCTGCCCATACACTGATTAATTCCCAACCTAATTGTTGTGTCTGGAACAGCTCAGAGGGCAATGGGCTAGACTGTCCTTTTCCTTTGTGTCTTGAAATGACGTTGCTTGCCGGTGAAACAATGTCCACGTGACATCACATGATGTCACATGACACATTTAATAACAGAAGGCAGATGCGGTTAGAAATCCTCATTTCAAATCCATGGCATTTAGCATGCCATAAAGTGTGTGGAGATATTGGCCATGGTCAAAATAGAAACCTATTGGTTATTACCCCGCTAACTGATGAGTTCTGAGATTTGTATATGGCTGTAGAATGAAGTGCTATGGCTCGCAGTTCGAGCGGGCCCGTCTTCCATTTCTAACTTTGGCGGGTTGATCAATGTGGGCAATACATTGGAGCACAAATTGCTCCCAAAGGTTGTACCGTGTGCTTTTCTGTGTATACGTTGTACACCATTGTTGGTGATGGACGCCGCCCAATCCAATGCTAAATTGAGATTGCAACTTCAATTTAAGTACAATTAATTTAAGAAACCCAAAGGTTTCTTGTATAGCCGTTCCCACTTGGAAAAAAAACAGAAGCCCAGTGCAATTATGTGGTAACTTGAATCCGTATCCTGGCCCGTAAGACGTTGAGTGTTCCTACTGTTCTAATTGTCTCACCCAGATTCCTCTGTCCGGATCCCGCTGTCCCCGTTCTGACCTGCTGTGCCGCCGGCCTCCGTCCCTCTGGCGTCCTGACCCCGCTGTCCCCTTCCCTTGAAATCCGCATTCATTAAAATCGCTTCTACGGATTATCATTCCTGTGTGAATCTCTGAGTGCCGGGTCAAATATCCAGCCCTAACACTGTGCTCTTTCATTGTTGATGTAAAATTGATTTTTTGTAGCAATTTTCCACAGTATTCCAGTTCTGGATAGCTTGCCTGTCCATCATACTTGCGTTTGAGAATTTCACGACTGAACTAGTACATACAAGTTGGCATTTTAAGTGGGGATGATGGTGGTGCCATCACCATTGTTAGCCAAATGAACCATCCATTTCTATATGCCCAAGTAGTAGGGAGTGATGGCGAAAGGGGTCATTTAGTGTAAGTCCATTTTTCCAGTTGAAATCTGACCCTAGCTGGTCTGTAGCTCAGGTTATCATCGTAGGTAGTCTGACGTTCACAGGCAGAGCTGGGCACATGTGTGTTTATCATGGATGGACCTTTTTGCCGTGAGGCGACAGTGCTAACCACCACACCCCCATGCCGCCCTCCGATGCTTATATGACAGTCATAATTGAAAGAAATCAGAGAGAATATAGATTACTACTCCAACATGTTAAAGCAATATTGCACTTGTCACATTAGAAATCACTATCTGGCAAAGACTGCGCTTCTTTGGTCTTGTCAGTGGGTTAACATGATCACACACACAGTCCAAAAACTCCAAGGCTAAGGCAGAAACAGCTTGTCGAGCACCGTGTGTATTAGTGTATTCCCTTACCCAACACTTGTGTACATGAAAAACAACACTTTCCATGAACCCCAAGCGCTAATTATAACATAGCGAGAAGTGTATTTATTTGCTTTCGCTCGCTGTGCTACAGAGCCTCAATTTTCTGGCTGGCGCATAAGCTTCATTATCCCTATGCGTATGAAGTGGTTTTTGGAAGTGGGTTAGTTGTCAGACAGCTCTGAAAATCCCCAGCTCTTGGCTGCTCTTGACACTCCGGTTGAACCCGTCCTATTAACGCTGGATTACTGCGTAGAGGCCGTGTTTTCTTGACAAGGGAATAGAGCAGAACATTTGCGCGGGGATGATTTCATCTTGCAGTTTTTAATTGCTCCAGCATCTATTCATGCACTCTTAAGATGCGCCAAGCTGCTTTGCAGCGTCCCAGTGAGAAGAGGGGGGGGGGAAAGAAAACGTCAAGGTTCAGCGGAAATGGCTGATACCAAACACTGAAGGTATACGGCTGCTCAAAGTCAAAGTTTCATGGTCTCAGGATAAGCGGATCACTTTCCGGCCATAACGTGTTTCCTGCGTACATCTGCCAAAATCTCTCCCTTTCCAGGGAGCCTTTGTTGTCTTTGGATTGTCAGCATGAGCATTACGGAGCGTTTCAATTTGGAAATAAATGAGCCTCCTTTTTCTAAAGTGATGATAGCAATCACTGAGCAAAGTCAACATTAGCCTCTCTGCTGGTTGTAATTTATGGGAAAAAACCATAGGCTGATTTTGCAAACGTTCCCTGCAACTGGGGCTGCTCCCATGGTGCGCGATGTTATTAATCATGCAAGACGCTAAGCAGAAGCAGCGGCTGATACTTCAGGATTTACCACACTGTGTTTTGTTTCGAGACAGAGCATTGTAGAGGAGTATCTCCGTCATGGTTGTTTAGGTCCTTTAGTGCCAAGGCTGCTGTCCAAGGTACTAAATCCGCAGCCGTCCTGGGTGTTCAACGACAATTGGAGGGCACGCATCCATAAAGTGACTTCCGGGTCTTTTTCTAAAAGCAATTATTTTCATTCGATTTTAAGCTTATTGTTTTACCAGCCTGTTCAATCTGATGAATTCCTCCTGACTTTAGCAAATAAAGTTAAATATAATAATATACAATAGGAAATGAGATCTTTTTTATGAGTCTGAATTAGGCATTTGGTTTGTTTTCTGCTCATGTTTATTTATCTGAAAAACTGTATTTTGTCTATACTGTGCCAACAGTGTCCCCGGACTACATCAACATTAAGGGATTCTGTAAAGCATAGTTTTATTTTTGGAAACAACAATTCACTGTTTGCATGGCAACTACAGTATAGTCATAAGGCTGAGATGTAAAATCCTTCATTGGGTCATTTTTCTCAGTTCATCCATCTCAGTTCAAAATGTCCCCACAAATTCCTTTCAGGTGTTACTAAGGTAAGACAATGACCTTTGACCTTTCTGCTAACACAACAATGTAATTAGTCTTTAAGTCCAGATGGACATTTCTTAGATGTCTTCCAGGGGTTCCTGATGTCGAATGAGATGTGATGGAGAGGGAATTGTGAAGTCTCTCAACACACTGACAAAATAATTTAGAACTTCCCTCTTCCCCTTTAATTTCCCAGTCTAAATTTAGTGTAACAACCGCTAAGGATGTTGATTATCGCACATCGCCAATAACAATAACAGCATAAAGTGAGAAATTCAATTACGCTCCTCGTGATTTATTTGTGGTTTAATGATTTTTTTTTTTTTTTTAACAGCCCGGTTCATTAGACATTAGAGCTCATGCTACTGGCAATTATGAGGCTGCGTGAATTACCCCTGACGATACGCCAAACTATAATTTCCATTCCGTTGCGCCGAACCTCATGCCAGCAATAACTGAAGTGAGTCTGGTTGACTCTGGCATCTTCGGAGCGGCAATGATCATCTGATATTTGTTTGCACAGTCACGTTGCGCAATCGCATATTGAATAATTTACTCACACACTCAGGTGAAGCCTGCCTTTTTGCTTGTTATCCCCACAGACAGAGAGGCATGCATTTTTCATCTTTGGCACCACAAGTTGCAGCAGTGATTGTACTTCGCCTTTTTTCCCCTAACATGATTGTAACCTTAAGAGTCGGTGGAAGTTCGTCTGGTCCGAAAGGACTCCGCATCATCATAATTTATCAAAGGCGGAGAGCCGGCTCTGCTCTCGGAGAGGTGAGGCCGAGAGCGGCCTCGGCTGTTTGTCATTTGCCAGCAGACACAAAGCAACCTTGGCAAAGTGCAGAACTAGAGATACAAGGAAGATTGTCAATACAGAAGTGCCCGGGTAAAGTTTCATCGATAGGACGGTGACATTGACCGGCGCTGTGAGCAGGAGGGGTTCGCTGAAGTGGAATGATGAGACACTTACCTGGAATGAGAGTTTTATGCGCTAAGACCTTGTAAACAGCAGTTGGGCAAAAGGGATGTTTGGTAACGGTGTGGAATCAGAGGTGTCCGTGAAGTGCACATTTAGCACGTGAATGCTGCCCAGCTACAGCATTATTGACGTGGTTTGAAGAGCACAAAAGTCCACGCAGGTTGGTTCAGTCCAGAGAGAAAGTGGACGGGTACTTTGTCTATTTGTACAATTTATGTTTGTAGAGGTAAAGGGGAACCCCTGTAAGTGCTTTAATGTGTAACAATCAGTTTATGTGTTACTGTAGAGAAAACGTGACCCCATATGGGGTCCTCTCGTTTCTAAAGGTCCTTTAAAATATACTGCAGCGTTAAGAGTGTTCCACCAAAAACTTACATCTTGCTTAACAGAAGCCATATTAACAGGCAAACTTAAGATCCTAATGGGGCTCTTAATTGGTAAGTATTTCATTCATTAAAGGCTGATTCACCGCGAGGTTTACCAAAGTAAAAAAAAAAAAGTGGTGTACATTTTTAACGCAATAATTTAGCAACTCGCAAACGTGGCAGTGATTTTCTTTGTGATAGCTCCATTAAATTCAACTCGGCACCTGCTAGCAATGACTGTGAGCCAAAAACATGTGACTGTTTTGGTAATTAACTCCAGACCTAATGAATACAGAGATATGCTCTCAACTCACAGTATTTTTAAACGCGTCTTTATTTGACAAGCGAATAAACACTTCCAAGGAAGTCGACAAACTGTATTTGGTGCTGAAATAAGTGTCTTCCTCTGCAATCGAGCGCACGCTAATGACAGATCAAAATAGACATTTTATTATACGAAAGGGAGCATGAGACCTGCACCCCTTCTCCCCGGCAAAAAAGCTACTAAAGCGCTTGGTTGGCGACACTACCCGCCCGCTGCTAAAGCATCATCTTTACAGGGAGATCTTTGTTGCTGAATCACACAAATGTATTGTGAATAGGTGTGAAAGTGATTTATATGTACGCAGTGTTCATTTCGTCGACGAAAACTATGACGAAAATTTTTTGTTAACGAACGTTTTTTCCATGACTAAGACGTGACAAACGATCTTAAAAAATAAAAACTATGACTAAACTTTCGTTAACGAGACGAGACGAACATGTTGGTGGTTGACGAAGTCACAATACTTTTCCCCCCTAAATTTGCACGCAGCTAACAGACAACAGATAGGCAAAGTACCGCCCTGTACGCGGATAATAACGCGTCATGATGAGGTCATCCACGAACCCAGAACGCTCGCTCGCATCGGTGCAGCGGTGGTTCTTGTGCACCGACTACGGACCGCGACGACTATTTTACGCTTCGGCGAGTTTGAATGTGGCTTCATTAGTTTAGCTCAGCTGTCTCGGTTTAGCTGACTGTTAGCAGGCTGAAGACGCGGTGCTTCACAGAAACATGAAGACCCGTTTAACAGACTGTCGGCCAGCAGAGATCCACGTGGACCTTTCTGCTCTGTTCTCTGGCGACGGCAGGCAGCGTTTCCTGACAGTGGAAACAATAAAGGATGAAGTTTCAAAAGTGTTGCAAGTAAACAGACAAAGACAACAAAGTGTTGCGTTTAGATCCCTGGTCCTCATGAAGTTGTTACGCCTTTGCCAATTTGTTAAATTTCCTTGCAAATAAATGCTTTCCTGTAATGATTTTTTACATGTAATATATATATTCACTCACACAAACACTTTGTTTGGCCCGGCTCCTCCGTCACATTTTACAACCCATTGTGGCCCGCGAGGCAAAAAGTTTGCCACCCCCTGCTATAGACCTGTCCTAGGAGGGACATCTAATGGACAACCAAGTACTGCAAGGTAGACTATTATGCAGTTGTAAACACAACACAGGGGGTCCCTGGGCCTGAGAATGGAAGAAAA